GTATCGCTAACAGATACAAGATTGTACCGACGACGAAACGTGGCCTCTATCTCTAATTAATGTAATGTAGTTAATGTACGACAGTGGACTTTTCTTTTATCGATGTGGAATTGAGAAATCCTGAGAAAAGATTTCACGACAAGATCTCCCGAAATTAATTGTCCTTTTAGAGACGGATATCCTTGATATTATTAAATCTCATTAATTTAGAATCCAACGTTTCATAGTCTACATTATGTCGTTAGTAGAAAAGTTATGATATTAAAATGCGTTTAATAAGTAATTAAAAATTCGAAGTGTTAAACTTTTCCATATAAACCTCGAGCCTCTTAATTCAATTCGTTCGTTCAGTCTTCATATTTGTTTTTTTTTCTTGTACGTATGCAAAATTTTTCTTAGGATTGCGACAGGAGTCATACGAGTGTCTACATCTCCGACACTTTTCATGTCTTTTTTGCTAGTGGACGCTGCCTCCGCGTTGGTTTCGTTGCACCTGTTGCACGTCGCGCCGTTTGGTTCCAACAGACTCGGTTATTGGTGTCAACGAGTCGTTAATCGATGATGTTCCGTACGGGGAAAAATATGTGCGCGGCACCTTATCGCGCGTTAAATATCAACTTCAAATCGCGACTGGTCGATAGAAGCCCTAATTACTTTCGTGGCTTCCCAATTTGAATTCTCACGGGGTCGCGAACGTGTCGCGGAAACTGTAAAGAAAATTGTAGGGTGTCTTGTTGAAGTTGCAAGATAAAATTGTCGCGAATCCTTATTCAGACGTGCGAATGTCAACAGTGATATTCCCTGACACGTCCGTATCTGGCGGAGTTAGCGATATTCATTGTCGGACAGGCTGATTGCAGCCGGCAAGTTACGGAGCGGTAGAGACACAGATAGAGCTGTACGCCCGTAATCATAGGAGTAGGTCGCGAAGACATTAACTCGCGCTGGTGCATCGCGCTGGTGCATCGCGTTGGCAGACCGCGTCGACCCACTTCTCTGCCTTTCATGCTTTCTTCCTTAAGGCAAAGCCGAAGGCACTAACGAAGGCTCGGATGAATTTCATAACCCCACGAGAAGTCCGCGAGGACTCTATTACGCTTCGCGGCGCCCTCCTTTTTTCCCCTTTTCCCCGCTTTCTTTTAGTCATCGCGCTCGTCCTCGCGCTAATTTTCGCAACGCGCCTCGCTACCTTGTTTCTACCTTTTTTCCTCCCTCTTTCTCCTTATCTCCATGTGCGTTACATGCATGTACATATGCATTACTCTCATATAGTTGCTAGAAAGCGTACAAAATCCCCGTTTGATCCTTTTACATATTCACTTTTTTTTTACACAAGTGCCTCGGCGATTGAAACTACGCAATTAATTCCACGAACGTTCTTTGCAATTACGAGACTAATTTAATCGCGAGTACAGCGATTTATTTCGAGAAAGCGTGCGCGAAATTAGTGTAGTTAAATGATTTTGAAATACAGCACTCTATTAATTATTATCCGTAATATTAACAACATCTCGAAAATAACGTTTGAATAGAGTTTGTTCACATAAATGTTATTCAAATAAAGTCAGTTTCAGAGTGACATAAAATTTATCAAAGGAGAAGGAAATTTCAATTAATAATGCTAATTAGATACTTTAGTCTTAAAAGACGATTAACAATTTCTTCTCGCTAACGACGACAAGTAATTGACTGGTAAAATGAGTCAATCGGTGAAGTATTGATTTGTTAATTCGGTATAGCTGGTCGAATAAACTATTCCCCGCTATGGCTCGTTTCCTATAGTCTCGGTTAGGTAAATGACGGTAAACCGTAAATACTCGCAGCATCGTCTAAGTTGGACCAAGGAGAGCGGATGAGGGGAATCAGCAGCCTCTTGAGCTAGTATCCGTTAACTCGAGTCAATTACTACAACAGAGAAGCATGGTTCGTCGTGCACGGGGGTAAAGTGGTCTCTCGGCGTGCTTCAACTTTCAATTAACTATGGCACGACGACAAACAGACTGGCAATGACAGTTGGGACCCTAAATTCTCTCTTTTATTATCGTATTACCGCTATTGCAGTTACGCGACATTATTGCATTATATTATTGCGTTACAGACATTGCACGTAGCAATAAATTGTTTCTCTTTCGACCAGTGTGATTTACAATCGTTGTCATGATAAATATTAGTGATTTAGCATTTCATTAAAGTCTTTGCACTAATCACACTTCTGCGTCTTATCGTTACTCGCGTCTTATCAAGTTTTAACAGGAATTAATTGGGGTGTGGGTTTTATCTCCGCGATAGGATGCAGTTGCATCACCTCGTGGCATTGCTTAATATTGATGTCCGCCGGGGCGCGACAGTAGTTATATTACGAGCCATCTAATTTCATGTCTCGAATAATTACGCCCTTGTTCCGATTGGATGTGACTCGATCATTTATTAAGCGGACGCTAATAATTCATTGCGGGTAATTCGGAACGTTCGCGAACTCGCACGAATTGATGTTTGCATCCTTAATGCATTTCCACGTCGCTCCGGTGCACACCGGCTTAGACGCGATTTGCGCTTTGCGGAAACTCCGTGTAGGTAGTTTACGAAACAGGGGCGCTTCGCATGGCTCTCCGGCGTGAAGGCTGCTGGCTGCAGCTCGATGTAGGTCGCGCGTTAATGACCAGTGCGTAAGCGACGAATTCAATTGAATCGTCGGTTTCGCAAGAAACGAGGATATCACGCGTGGCGTAGTTTCGCACAATGCGTACGACACAATTCGACGTGCGTTACCCGTGGGTCTGTAATTTTAAAAAGTAAGAGAGAGAGAGAGAGAGCAGCCCGTCTGAAATTACCTAGAGCATAGATGTTGTTCACTTGCTCTCCCCCTTCTCTCCCCCTTTTCTGCAACTTAATTAAAACTAAATTTTCTAGCTTTTGAAGCGTTTATAATCCCAGAACAGATCGATACCTCGACACTTTTCATCAGGGAAGAATGCACTGCGGTTTACGGGAAGAAACTAAAGGAGAATGCGAGAAACGACCCCTACACCTCGTATATCAAGAGCGGCGGATTAGAAGCGACGACCTTAATAAATCGGAGGGGGGGGGGGCAACCTAGTCAGACGTGGACGCGACACGACGTATTGTCCGAACAGCACTCGTAATTTAGGACGGATCAAAGGTGGGTCGGGGGACGGTTAAGGTTCGCGGAGAGCGGATCGGTCAGCAGGTTCCCAGGTGTCAGGTGGTACCCGGCCACTCCAGACGCGCCGAATCACCAGCACCCGGCCAGTCGCCACCATTTCCACGTAGGAAGCGACTAATGTCCTCGCTCATTTCCCACGATATATAGGCGGGCGCCGCATCGATTCTCGAAGCACCATCCGCCTGCCCGACGCGATATTAATGTTTAACTAGCGCGATCGTGTGTCTGATACATTACCGTTGCTCCCGGGGTTGAAATTGTTGCGCGCTGCGCTACACGCCCGTGCCACGGTGCTACATGTTACGTGAGTACGAAACAGGCGAATTGCAGAGAGTTTGTCGAACGCGCTGCTGTTATTGCGATACTATCGTGCGTCGAATTGTCTTCTATTGTTGGCCGGACGTGTAATTGGAACGCAACGTTATTCGATATTTTTCAGATATCTGCGACACGTACGAATCCTCGAATTGTTCTACGCGGTAATCTTTATAATTTTAATGAGGACTCGCGCGATAAGGACATTTTTTTTTTGGTACGATCGTATAGCCGCGCATTGAGAAACTGAGAAACATGTGTTACCTGTTGATTAGATTACCGCCATCTCATGTTCATGATGTTACATATTGACTTACTCTCGTTATCACGCGCCTCGGACGCGTTGCAGCGAACGCTATCCCGTGCGCCGTGGGCAGTCTGTCAAATTACGGGGCAGGTACTTGGAGACAGGCTCCTAATTCCGCTTCTAATAACCGGGGCTAGTTATAAGCGCCCGGAAGCGCTTTGTATTGTCAACGTTGCGAATCGATCAAACGACGAGCGCGCGTTGCGGGAACGGCGTGAGTTCACCGCGGACGCAAATATTTGCGAGGGTGAAAATTGCATTAATTAAAGAGAGAATAGAGATTTGCGATTTACGCGCTGTTTGACGTACTGCGAAATTTTGTGATCCCGTTTCTTTATTACCGCTGTTGTGGTTCTATTAAAAGAGGGAAAATAGGAAAGTTTGCAGAGACCAGGGTGCACGAGTTCTCGTACACCATATTCCAATTTCTGCGGCGCGCACTCGTTTACCGACGAGCTTTTTCCGCGTTACACGCGGAGCAACAGATGTTTCCGAACGAACTGGAGGAAGAGCGATGGCAAGGACAAGAGGGAGGTAGAGAAAGAGAGAGTTTTTGGCGTCGTTAAACTGTGGAGCGCAGAGCCACGCGAACTTTCGAGTTGTTGAGAGCGAATATTATTCTTATTTTATTCGCCGAGGGCGGCAAAAGCGGAAAATTCTGTCCACACTTCGCGGTTGTTCGAGAACGAGCTTTTTCCCAGTTCGACAGACAATGACCGAAACTCTGGACGAAAAGCTCGCGGCTTTGTGAGCGCGCTCTCGGTTCTCTCGCTCTTCTCGAAAAATTTCGTTGATTATATAATTCCGTATATCCGCGAATTGAAGGGCTAGGTGGAATAATAGTAGCAGAGTATAATGTGTGGAAATATAATTTTTATTGCCCCGCGACTCTCCCAATTTAATGCTGAAATATATTTCACTCTCTAGTACAAGTGGAAAGTAATCCAGTTACAGAGGCGAAATTTTAACTTACGGCTTTTCGAAACGGAATAATTTTTACGTGATATTTCAGTACGTAATTGAAAAAGCAGCGGTACGCTGGCTGTCGGACAATTAATCATTGTTGTTACAATTAATCATTGTTATTGCGGACGTTCGGAAAAATGGGGAAACACGCTAAATCGTTGAAAAGAATGAAACGTTTGGAGTAGTAATTAAGAAGCTATTAAGAAGTTATATTTGTTACGGTTTCAGGTTCGCTGGGCACGTCGGTATTCGATACAGACGTATACCTCGTCGGGGCGAGCGGGGGCGTTTACGCCCTTCTGGCGGCGCATCTAGCCAACGTCCTCCTCAACTATAACAATATGGAGTTCGGGATAGTTCGGCTCATCGGCATCTTCGTCATCGGTAAGTGGACCCTACTTCCTCGATCGGCGGCCCGCAACCACCGCGGCCAATCCTATCTACCTTCAACCTGCCAGCTCGATATCTCCGGTCGAACTGCTTTCGAGAGCGGCCACGATTGACCATTGGCGCCGACGATACATTAATCACGCATTGTGCCTTGAGCCAAACATTGCAAATTATCAGCCGTTGATAAATTACTACGGTCTACAAAGTATCATATGACAAATGTTGCATTTCGAGTAACATGATTGCGGCAGAAAAGATTTCTAGACGATTAATACGAATTCGCGATGTAGCTAAAGAATTAATCCTCACTATGGAAAACGATCTGTAAAGAATTGCAACGTATTCGCGATGCGGACGAAGGAGGATTAATGCTTGTTATAAAAAAAATCGAGAGAAATTTTCAAAGTTGAGAAGAACAGCTTCTGAACGGTATCTCTCCACTAGTCTCTTTGCAAAGTAGCGAGGACCTGTAGAGTCGCGAATTTGCAGGCACGTCTTTGAGGATTAAGGTAAAGTGCCTCGGACCTTCAGAGCAGAATACAATCTCAGAACGCGGCGCCTATGGCGACGTAATAATAGCGCGATATTGGCAAAGACGTAGAACTCTAGTATCGAGGGCCCATATAGCACGTAATCTGACCGCCACTGTACGTGCGCATTATCTGGTTCTAGTGGCCCTAGAGTCGCCTCAAATTCACCTCGACGGAGCCTCTCGAGTCTTCAATAACCTTGTTTAAGGGGTTGATTACCGTCAGCACGGATTCGGATATCCGCCGTTGCTTTCTCCCTCTCTATCTCTTACTCGCGCTGTTCCCAATATATTCGCATAGTTCCTGTCCGCGGTTGGTAACAGCCTGGACCCGTTCCGATCTACGCGCTTCGACTTGGATTACATCGTAATCCCAGCGCGAGAGCTTGACGAGCGAAGTAGAGCTTGATCGATAAACGCGCTCTCTCACGACGTGGAAGCGGGTCATCCGTTCAGCCGCGAATGCAAATGACGCTCTCGCAGGAGTCTGCGACGTGGCGAGGTCTCTCGCTCGCTCGCTCGCTCACTTCCCGCAACGTCTTAAGATGCGAAGAAAATGCGGCTCTATCAACTGCAATCAGACCTCTGTGAAGGAATTCAAGAGAGATTTGAATTTTCATATCTTATAGAAACATTTCTCCAAATGTTAACGATTCCGTTTAATTAACGGGTTTAGACATTGGATTAATTTCAGGTATCATCCATCGGATTTAGCAGAATCGTTAACAAATATCGAAATTGTCGATCAAGATGTCGCTCGAAGATATCCTCATTCTTTACTGAATAGTAACGCTTCAATATCTTTTTCGCGATTGCCTTCATTTTCGCTCATTGTCATCTAGTCCATTTCCTCTACTCGCGCTTGGTTCGGCGCCACTCCTGAAATTTCAATTTCCTCGTTTTTTCCCCCCCGCGGTAAGAGCTGGAAAGCGCAAGGGAGGAGCCACGAAAGCCGTCGCTATTCTGAAGTTTTAATTAAAAGATAGGTGTGCTCTCGCGCTGTGATCGCCGCGGAGAATTTTCGCCGACGTTGGGATTGTTTGCCACGAGAAGAACAGGTGGCTGTTCCGTCAAATTTTCAAGCGAGCACGGTGTCGTCACTCGTGTTTATCGAGTCATCAAGATAGCGCCTGCGTAAGCTTGATTGAAAATTAAAGAAGAGAAGCGATAGTCGAAGATTATGCAACAATAACGACCGCGGAGTCCATCTTCTGGAAAAAAAAGGAGATAGGGAAAACTGAAGGAAAGAGGAATTTTCACGCGATCAGAAAATTTTAATTTTAATTATGCAAGTAAATGTGATCTAGACGAATTATAATTATGGCGTACGAATAAGTGTTGAGCGAAGTCTATCGAGTAATCGTATATTTTGACAATGAGCAATTTTAATGATGGAATGGATCAGGTCTACAAATTACGAAAAGTACTTGAGATATAATGATGTATAATCCAATATTAACAGGTTAATATTAACAACTATAAGCTTTCATCCGACTATTTCATCAAAATTGGATTATATAAGCTGAAACGAAAGACCAGACAGCGTAGAATCGGTACTGAAGTGACGGATATCGCTTATGATGGAAAAGATACAATAGAATATTATATAATGAATATATACTCGTGGATATACTGATTGCAGTCGAGGAAATAAAGTTAGGAGAGCGGATAGACGGAAAAGCTCAGAAAGGGTCCAGCTTTTGTTACTTCAAGAGTTGTATAACTCAACCTTCAAGTTAAACGGCAACAGCGACGCAAAGAGATCGCGTTTGAGAACAGAAAGAAAACAGTATAAAGGATGTACATCAGAATTCGTACACTTCCTCGAAGTTATAAATGCCTCGATAAGCTTGAAGTTCTTCATATCTCGTTAACGAAAATTTTAAACTCAATTGCAGAATTACTAAATGTCGAAAATGAAATATGTCTTCGTAAAGAGACGAAAAAAAAAATCTTTTCTTCTTTGTACTTAGATGCTGTTAATTTAATTTTAACGGAAATTAATTTGGAAGTCAATTTATCGAGTTTTTCGCAGTTTTGGTACAATATATAATTATAAAAACTTCAAAGAACGATATAATTTTATATCAGCTAAAGTGGAAATCTCCTAGAAAGATAAGATCTCACGAATCGCTCATAACACTTAAGAGACCGTAGAAGGAATAATAATTTAATAATAATCTGCATTTATTAAGAAGATGAAAAAAATTCGTAGACGATGTTAAAACTTAGTAGGTTTCGGAACTAAAGACGAAAGATGATCCAATTGTGCCCAGGCTGCACAAAGCCGATTTCTACATTGACTAACGAAGAAGCAAATTTCTTCTACGGGAGCACAACGGACTTACATAATCATCGGCGATGGTCGCAGACGTAGAAAAAAGCCGCTGAGGAAGCTGCAGGAAAGCTCTTCTCTCGACGACACTTCGAGAGCTTCTCAAAGCTCGCCGTCGGCTTGGCTCTTCGTGGCATCCTTACTTTTTTCGTTCCACTCTCTTCCGCTTTCTTGTTTCTCCTTTTATCCCTCTTATGCTCTCCTTATCGCTTTACTATGCACCATTTTCATCGGTACTTTCAAGGCAGATAGCGAGAAAGAATTCTAAGAGAGAACACGCCGCGATAAGAGCGCTATTTTCTTTCTTCATCTTGTGACTTTGCTCATTTTAAATTAATCTACCAATCTGTTTGCGCCTGTTAGTTGTCAATTGTACTAATTCAAAAGATACCAGAAGTAGAATTTAATCGTAATCTAAAATTGAATAAATAAGACACATTATACGTTTATCGGATCGAGTTTGAATTGAAAGACGCGTGGAGGAACGAGAGGCTCGAAATGGTCACGCGTAATCATTGTAAATAGGTAGAGGTAACAAATTTGAAAACGTTGATATCTCTGATTGCAGCCAGTGCCGACGTGGGCTTCGCGATCTACGACAGGTACGCCGCGGAGCAGATGGGCCCGCCGGTGTCGTACGTCGCCCATCTGACGGGCGCCCTGGCGGGCCTAACGATCGGCCTCTTGGTACTGAAGAACTTTGAGCAGCGGCTGCACGAGCAGCTACTCTGGTGGGTTGCCTTGGGCGTCTACGCCGCCTGCACGATCTTCGCGATCATGTACAATCTGATGCACCCCGACTATCCATGACGCGAGGTCAGCTTCGCGTACGGCCAGCCGAGGCACACGTAACGCGAAGCTGATCGCCCTTGGAAGAAAAAGAAGAAGAGGAAGAAACGGCGGAGAGGACGGGAGGGACCGTCAACGTTGAGCAACGTCGAGGGAGATTTTCAAGTATCGCGAACTCTCGATAGCACGCTAAGCCGTGAGCTAAATCGTTCCCGAAGCACCGAAGGCGAAGGACACGTAAGGAACGAGAGTTATGCGACGGGGTCGTCGGCAGACGTTCTCCTCAAAGAACGTGACTTCGTTCTCCTTCCGCGCGAGAAGGACCGCGTAATAGTTTCGTAGTATATATTTTCTTCCAAGCCGGCCTGTTCGCGCGCGACAGTCGAGAGAAGCGACAGAGCGCTTGTCGAAAAGAAGCGAGAAACGAGCGAGGAAATGTAATATATTATTGATGAAAAATTCTAACGAAGGAGAACACTTGGAATGGAAGCGGTAGTGATCGGTAAAAGCGAACGCGATGTACTTCCGAAAAGAAGTAGGGGCTCTCCGCTTCCTTTAAAAAGGAGAAGAAGGGACGCGGAGGAAGAAGAAAATTGAGCGAATGTCCTCATTACGTTTCGTCTTTCCTGTTCGATAAAGCAGTCCGCGTTTCGCAATCCCGCGAAAACTCCTTAAACGCAATGCCGGAACTACTTCATCACGGCGGAATACGGGCAATTTTGCAAGCGGTGTAATCATAAAGAAAAAGGAACACACAACTGTTAGGCTCGTGTTATCCTACCATCAGCGGGACAACGAAACGTCATTGTTGCAAGATGACCATCCCGGGCCACGATAAAATGTCTTCGCGTGTCGTTCTAGAGAACGACGGAGCAGCGTGCGGGAAGGTTACGGATAATATTCTTCTTGGTCGGGAAAGAGGAAGTCGCGTGATCGCGAGACTAGTCGTTCAATCCCGTCGTCGCGCGTTCTTCCGCATTCTGAAGAAAAACCAAAGAATCGAGCTGGATGACAACGAGGTCGGTCGGCCATCCGGAAAACGCAAAATCCTTGAGGGACGGGGCATTTCTGCCCGAACCTGAACAAGGTACAAGAGGAATTCTCTCTTATGGCATTCGTTTATTTCCGCGCAATGTTGGCCGCAGTCGTCCTCGGAAAAACCAAAGAATCATACTCGACTGTGTGGACAACGCTCGCTGTCCTTTGTCGCGTTGAAGAAATTTCTTTGCTCGATGACGAGAAGAAGAAGAAAAAAAGAGGAAGGAGATGATGATGATAGAAAGAGAGCGAGAGGAAGAAATTGGAAGAAACAGCGAAGTAAAGCAACGGAAGAGGTAAAGAGGAAACGGGAGGACTTAATGGATCCTTCGCGGTCGATGAAACATTGTACAAATGACCGCGACGGAGAGGTACGAAGATGATGAAACAAAAACCGCGCTCGAGAAAATTGGTAACCATCGACGTTCCTCTCGAAACCCTCTCGAAACATTCGACTCGCGAGACGAATTCGTGGACGTGGACGGAAACGTAGAGGAGCAGACTGCGTCAAGCTTGATGATGAAGAGCTCGTGCCGGTGGAAGATTTTTTTCCGATCGGGATGAATGATTAGTCGCGACGACAAATTTTGCAGAGACCGATCGACTGATCGATCACTAATTTTGCGATAGTGCGAAGAATACTGCTAATCGAATCGCGCAAATAATTGTGAAGTATTCATGGAAAACGATGTGAGTATTTGTTCATTAAATATATGTATAATCTTTTTGTTTACATCATCGCATCTGCTGGAAGGTTCACTTGTGGCGCTTCGGGTCGCCACGAAACTTATGGCAAACTCGGTTGCTTGCACTGCGAAAATTCTGTATTTAACTTTGTCTCAAATATGTTAAATATCTTAAATATGTTGTCTTAGATATACATGTTCAAAGAGTATTTAGTCAAAACAATGATCCGTATGTACGCTATACAGAGCATTGTTTAAAAGAAATATATTTCAAGAGGTATTTGAAACGATCCTTAAATATAAGAATTGACCATAAACAAGTCAGTATGCGCTCAGTGCGCGCTAGTGCAAGCACTCGAATTCGCTGGTAGAGAATTTATTTCGTATTTCTCAAACTTTCGTAACCGTTTTCGACATTACTGTTTTCTATAGATGCTTCACAAGTGTGCACAACTGTCGAGTTTACGTATTATTCTTTATAATGTGCGTAAATTCGCGAAAAATCCAATCGCAACAAAAATTCGCTGATATTTGGACATGTGTTTATTATCGCGCATAGATAGATCGATCATTATAGGAACGCAAATTCACCAAGTCACAAAAATTCATCCGAATAGCCGTTGCATATTTTCCGTGTCATTGTATTACATCGCAGAGTCTTGCGCAAAGGAAAAGTTAAAAAAAAAGAAGAGAGAACATTCTCAACGCCGCGCTTGCGAGAGTCAAAACGCCCCCGAACGCAATACCGTCGAAACGCGTACTGTATCATTGTAAAGAAATACTATTTAATATTGCAGAAAGATAATATTTCGAGATAAGCATTGGACTATCAATTGTGTACATAAATCAAGCTTCGTTTCGACGCGCATTGCCATTCGCGCGATTGTGATTTTCGCGAGAGCTTTCCGCATGATGGATGTAATAATGCGCAATGCAACGGCGATCAAGCCTATGACAAAACAACACCCGGCCGACCTGTCGGTCGGTTTTCAGTCGCTAGTCCGCGCTTTCGATAGCGACCGCTCGTTAACGTCCTCGCAAAATCCCCCTGACGACGCATCTGCCTGCGCGCGCGATCATTAACGCGCATTAATTGTACACCATTGTAAATACCTGTATATAGCATAGAGACTCTGTGTGTGTTTTTTGCGTGTGTATGGGAGCGTTTCACGCGAGTGAAGAGGAGGAGGCGCGAGACAGAGCGAGGAAGAAAAAAAAATTAGAAGAGGAAGGGAAGAAGAGAGTTGGAGTCGGGTCACAGTCTAGTCGTTTCGCGTCGTTGTCGTAAGTATATACAAAATATACATATTGTATTTAAATCGAGAGCAAGAGAGAGAGAGAAAAAGAGCCGCACATTCTCGGGAGAGCACACGCTTAGTGTACATAGTCACACGCGAGACATATGTTCCTCACCTTTAATTTATCATCGTGTCATCGTGTCTTCGGAATCAGATCGTGCGATTGCCGCCCGCGTGGCGTGCGACCTAAACGGTACCTGTGCCGACGATGGCATCGGAGTATCCCGGATGCGTTCAGCGTTGATCCGCGGCCGCTCGATGGGCCGTTTAGACGGGGGGTATTTTCACCGCGCGTTTAGCCGCAAACACGACTGTTTGATTTTCACCGAGAGAGGATATTTATTTGGCCTATTATCTTCGTTACATTGAACGATTAAATTAAGTTAATCAGCCACAAATTGCATTTCACGATCGCGCAACCACGCTCGAGCGCCCTTTTTGGACGGTGCAGTAATTTAAATCGATTAAGAAAATATATTTTTTTACAATTTATGGATGGCAAAGATTAATTTATATATAAAATCGCAAGAAAGTGACGTATCAAAGCCCTTGGGGTTACGGAAGGAAGAGCTTGTCTTTGTTCCCCCTCAGAATATGGCAAGTCTAACTTTGCCTGACGGCTCATTTAGCGTTGAATGCGCGGTGACTGATAAAGTCCCAAAATCGGAAGCTAAACGCGGCGCTGAACAAAGTTCGAATACTGCGAGCCAAAGTCTGTACAGTAGTTTGGATAGTGTCGCGGTATGTGTCTCTCTAATGTTTAGTTGTATAGGTTGTTCGTTTGTCGAGATAGCCCGACTCACTGCCTATTTTGTAATACGACTTAGCGCCACGTGCGCCCCTTTCGTTCCCTCAAAGACCGCCGTTCAGCGCGATTCGTGTGTTATGTAAATTTCGTTGAACGCCCACGTTTTTCCGCACTTCTCGCGCAACACCCGGAAGGGGAAGAAACGCGTTTGATTTCACGGATGTGTTCTTGGGTTAAACAATTAATTAGCGATTACACTATCATATTCCCAGCGACGGCGCGCGAACCTATATTTATTTTTCGTAAAGTGGGAACCAGCTGCGTTGTTCCCGAATCCCGCGTGTACGAAGCCCCCAGTTCTTTCCGATATTTTTTCGGGATCCTTTCCTCGGCTCTGGGAAACCCTACGCGAGTACCACGAGATGAAATGTGTGAAAAATCGTCAATTAGTCGACGAGCGAAAATTATTTTCCCACACTTGCGCGATTTAGGGTAGCGCGTTTAACGTTCAGGAGAAAAAGAAATATTGAAATTCTGCCCGGTAGGTTCCTCCTTGTTTCGACGGGGATCAAACTAATGTATTATTATTTATGTTGCGCTGACCGTAGTGTAATAACGTTAACATACGATACCAAATAATACGTAAGATTTAGTATGAAACAGTAATATATTATTATATTATTTTTTATTAATATTATTGTTAATTGCTATCGCATCTTTCGTGGCACCAAGGAAGAAAGTAATTTTTAGTGCTGGTAATTTGGCACGGCCGGCCTGAATGGCGCGAGGCGGACAAGTGGTCCTCGGCGAGGAGGAGCGGAAAGAGCGCCAAGGGGACGCGAATCGAGCGCGAGCGAGAGATCAAACGAGAGTAATTAACGATGCTAGTCAATTAGTACCCGCGAAGGCAGCTAACGCCAGATCCTAGCTTAAAGTACGACGGCTAGGTAACTCGCTTTAAGACGTCGAAGAAGCTCGAGATACCGATGACGCCGAGGAAGAAGGGTGACGCAAAGAAGAGAGAAAGAAAGGAGGTCGAGGGGCGAGGGAGGTCTAAGGAGGTTTAAGGATTCGAGAACACTGAGGGAGCGAGAAGAGGACGCTGAAGAGCGCCCAAAAGGTGGTTGCTCAAAGAGTCGAGGAGACGAAGGAGAGCTTCGATGGTTGGCTGGCTGGCTATGTCAGTCGACAAGTGTGTACTTGGCGGAAGAATGCAAAGGGGGAGCAAAAGTGACGTTCCTAACAACGCCCGGCCGGATCGTGCGCTAGGCTCTAGGTGCGACAATTACGGTCGAAAGTGTCCCACACACGTGGGACTGTAGGGTGTCTCCAATCGCCGGCGAAAAAAAAAATACGTACTCTTTATTGTGACGCAAAACCGAGATTATCTTTCGTCGATTTTACTCGTACAATTTGATATTCTCGTAACAGTTGGATTCTGATAAAATAGGGGTAACGATCGATTTGAAATTAAGCGCATTTAATACGCAGAGAAATAACTTAATAACCAATTAACGCACCGAACGAATCACGTGCGGCGAATTAAGATTTTTATCTTCCGTATACGCACATTTGTCGATAAGCCGATAAACGTTGCTTCTATTGTTACGTAAATCAATAATAAATATATAAATGATTAAATGCAGAGCAAAGTTATTAAGTTTGTACCGATAAATCGAACGTGATTTTCGTTATGTATGTATAGCCTTGTTAAATATTTAATTCGATTTGCTTCATAAATGCAGTAACGATTTCAGTTCTTTTGAAGTGGTACGAACCTTTCATAACGCTCGATCGATTCGAGCTTCCATTAATTACCATCGTTGTTAACGATAATTTATGCATCGATGAAATACAGCCCCGGCCGAAAAGAGTCGCTTTCCCCAGGAAAATCGAACAGGTGTCGATCCGCTGGCTATTAACATCCAACGGGGAAACATATAATTTAGAGACTTCATACAACATTTATGGCGTATGATTTCCATTTTATTAATCCACCGTCGGGTTAAATGACGATGCCAAAGAGCACGCACGGCGCATAATTATTTACACACGCTCGTAACTCGAACGTGGGAATAAATTATACGTCGTCCGAAATCCCTCGCGCAAATGACCCGCGTAATGTGCATATACCCCGCGATGATACTTCGTCAATTATACACCTAGCGGCGTGATTGAAATCGAGTGGAAAAGGAAACGTACGATCAGTGCATAGGGATTTGCCATTTACATCGACACCGCGATATCTTGTTGCCGGCGAAAGAGGACTCGCTTCGACATTTTTTTCAGTACCCAAGCGATGCTGAAGCCTTGCCCTTTTCATGAACGCCTCTCATCATGAACGGGCTTCAAACAAACAAACGTCAAAGTCGTTTCGGAATCGAATTTTCTTATCAGCGCACATCTGTCACCCTTCCAAAAGCGTCATCGGATTTCCGGTATCCGGGTCCAGTGAGCCCGAAAGAAACGAGAAAAATAACACCGGGGAAACAGCGTCTCGCTCGAAGCTATCTGGACTTTAATTTACGCTCTGGCACTCGATCCGCGCCCAAAAGCTCGAGTTTAGGTCACTATATCTTCTATTTTTTTTTCGTTTTATTTAAAAGAGGGCGGCGCGCATCCCGCCCGAGTGCGCGCGCGCGCGCGCGTGTGTGTGTGCGTCCGTGCGTGTTAATATTTAAATCGAATGGGTATGCGTGAATATTATGTTTGTTCGTAGCGATCGAGGATCGTGAAGTCTACGATGGAGCGCAATGATTAAACTCATTAGCTTAATTCCGTATCGTAATCGTTCCTACTTTAGTTTCCGTATAATTCTGTGATGCGTATTTAAATAAATATATTACCGCAAAATTACGGTATGTTGCTGTTGATTATATATATACACACACACACGTATATATACAATGTTCATCTTTCTCAAAGCCATCTGGAGAGAGAAATTTCGTAGAGCATATTTCTCTATATCTCGGAAATTCGTTTGATACGAAACTATTCCGTACGCAAACTTTCTCTTTTGCCGGCCGCTTTTTACGGTGTAGTTTCATTTTTTTTAAAAAAAGTAAGCCAGTGAGTCAAGTATGTTGAGCTTATCACGATCCGGACATCTGTAGCGAGGATGCTCATAAATCTGTTATGTATCGATGTGAATGGAAACGATCGCATAATAATTTAACAATTAATTTATTATTGTATTATATAGAATATATTGTTATTATTTAATTGCCGTGAAAGGACGCGTGAGTGTACAAAGTAGACCGAGAGTGCGTCGAAATACCGAGGTATTTTACCGGATTTTAATAATGCATTTTTTTTTTGCGCCGGTGAATAGCCGAAGCGATACATAACGGGTCCAGCGAAAAGCGGCGCGTGTTTTATCCCGTACCGTTTTTTTTTTAGTCCCCTGACTATGCGATCTTCGATCGAGTGATTAAGCGATCGGCTGAAAAGCGTGATCCGTTAATTTTTATATTGTGCGTGTCACACTGTCATTAAGTATTATTTATTGGTGAAAGTGGAGGACCCCGTACGCGCCCGTTTGCGGAGAAACCTCCCGGTCTGTCTGTCCGTCATTTCGTTTTATTTTTAATTAGCCCGCTTAATACAGCAAAGGCGCGCCGCCGCATCACAGACGCACCTGCGACCCTGGCAACACCTGCGACAGTCGACAATTTCGGCGAGACCGGCGTTCGCCTGGGATATTTTCTAAAATTTCATCATTAACCCGCAACCGTATTATTAGCGCTAAACTTACATTAATTTTGCGAGCGCGTGCGAAATATTAGATAGATATCTAACATGAATCTTCCTAATTAATCCTATGTGAAGCAATTATCACGAACGGAAAATATAATTAACACCGCAAAGACATTTTACGTTTACATATAAGTTACCAGTGGTTTGTCAGTTTTCTGTACGCGACTTTATGTAATAAATGAAAAACACGATCTCTGTAATTGATCGTAAAGTCACCCGAGTCAAAAAAGTTACGCAAGTGTGCAAATTTAAATTAGTAGATTAATCAAAACAATCATCAAAAGCTTGCGTTCAAACGATAAATACGATTAAATTTTAAAAAAATGTGAGTACTTTTTATGCAAATATGTTCGAGCGAGTAATGGTCGCGCGATTTCTGTTCTGCAACGAAACTCTGAGATGCCCGATCACGATAACGATAAGGTCCAAAGACGCGCAAGATGGACAGCATGAATACACAACTGATATAGTAATAAAATAATAACGTTAATAATTTATATTATATAACAGTCACAACTGTACACAAGCCAAAGAGGTGGAGCTAGTAAAGGAGAGACAGAGAGACAAAGAGACAAACAAAAAAAAAGAGAGTATGTGTGCGTGCGAGAGATGAAAAGGAATTTCAGGCGTTTAATATTATTAATTGTCTTTATCGGACGTCATTTGTCAATGTTCATCAAAGCATCGCCATTGTCATGTTCTTCACTATTTATCATTGTCGATGAATTAATTATTATTCTTATAATTATTGTCATCATTTTATATATGTATATGTATGTATGTATGCATATATATATATATGTATATTGTACAAAACGTGATAACTACGAATCCTCGCTTAGATAATTCGCATAGTAATTTTCTGTACACACATTCGCCGCGGCAGAAGAAAAATACAATGGTATTTAAAAGATTCAATTGATATTATCTTTTTATACCTATGACCAAACGGTAAGAAATCTCATCGCGTAAATTTGAAGTGCAGATTTCGAAAATTATGTGTTTTAGCGATAAGAAGACAAAAGTTTGATTCGTGAACTCTTTTAAACATCTGCATCTCAACAGTAACGATGTTAAGGGAAATATGTGTCGACTTGTTACTGTTGAAATAAAGATCTTTAAATATCAGATGCCTTTTTAGCATTTCCGACATTTCTTTCCCTTTCTTCACATAATTTCTGTTTTCGAATCTCATTAAAGTGTAATAATCCACTTTTAATAAAAGTAAAAAATTAATTTATTAATTTTCTATTTTACTTATTCATCTATTAATTATTATACAATATTGTATAAACGAAAAATGTCATTTTTTAATTTATATACAAATTAAGTAAAATTTGATCGCTGTTTTATATCGTTATAATTATACATATATGCAAATTATCATTATCCTAATAATAATTTTATCGACATCAACAATCGTGTGATTGTTACAAGAATCTTATGTATCATTTGAAAGGAATAGCGAAAGGTAGAAATCTACCTTGCTCACTACGTTATCACCAGTTGATTCAGTTGTTCAGTAATTGATATGAGTATACCATAAGCGTAGAGTTTATTTATCGGGAAACTTATTATTTGCTTGCTTCATTAAAAAAATTGATTGTTTTAAATCTCGAAAAAGTCACCAAAATATTAGGAGAATATAATCAGCATGGAAATTGCATTATTTAAAATTTCAAGGAAGTTTCAGAATTTAAACAATTTTTCAAATTTCCCAAGCATTACAATTCCAAGAGCTTAAAATTTTGATTCATAAAAATCAAGATCTTGAAAATTAACAAAGAAAAAGTAATTGGTTAAAAACTACTCGTATCCAAGTCCAAAAATTTGTGAAGAACTGAAAGAAATGCAATCCCAAAACCTCTTAAAATTCGGAATTGCGAGCCATGAAAATGTAAATTCCTAAAAATCAAGTATGAAAATTAAGAATTATAATTAAGAATCAAGCGAAACGAAGTCATGAGCACCCAACCTTTAATTTCTAAAAACTGAAATTTTGTTATTTCTTTGTTATTTCTTTCTTTTATTTATGTATTGTGAGAAAGGCTCTGATTACACATGTAATTTAATCATCGGCAAGACACATGTTATTAAAGGTCGATCATTAAAGGTCTATACAGTTCTATCGAAATTTGCATTACTGTCAAAAGTTGGACGATTAATTTAGAATATTACATTTATTTCATGATTTATTATTAGTGTTTTATAAATATGTATGTATCTCTACGGCACGATAATTCGACTTTTATTTAAAACTGCGTTATCCGATCATACAAAGATTTCTTACCGACAAGGCGGAGTATACAGCGCCAAGTAAAGTGAAACTTTGTGATCAGCTGTGATGGTACAAGCCTCAAAGACTCACATTTGTAGAATTGGCGCCCCCGAGATATATCAGACTATCTCATATTTAACACTATAGACTGCTCTAATTTGTTGAAAATATAAATAAATGAGGAGACGTGCACATTAAATAATTTATATCCACTTAGAAACATGGAATATTAATGTTATTAATTATATAGTTGACACTTAAGATTATTCAAACTTAAACAGACTTCGGGAATATAATCTTTAAATCAAGATATCGAGTTTTTAAATAATTTGTCTCCAATTTTTAAGTAATTTATTGTTACTACATTTCGTATTTTAATGAAAGACTGTTTTTCATTAATTATATAATTTTAGAGGATAATTTCTTATAATATTCTTTTAGGAATATGTAGATTGGATGATATGTAGGATATAATACTGATTAAATAATACGTAATTTACGTAAGATTAACGTTTATTCATAAATGTACAGAGACTGCCAGCCAAATTTATATCAATAAATACACGTACACAATTAATTACTCTCTTTAGCGGATACTGTGATTACAAATTAAACAAAGTATAAAATTATTGTTGAGTTTCTTCGATACGATGAGTGCTGAAAGAGCACAGCGACGAGACACGTTTATAATTGATAAACTAGCAATACATTTTTTCATACTACTCTCTCGTAAATACAATTATAGTAAATATAGGTAAACTTATTTTTATTCAAACAGAGCACGTTATAATTAACCAAATAAGTTTAGATTGAATTAGTAGCTATATAATAAAAACTTGACATGAATTACACGCACAATTTAGTGACTCTACGCTTTCACTTTTGTTCAACAAATATTTCATATAAGCGAATGATATCCCACCAATGTGTTTTACGAAATTATTGCAAATAATTCTCTGATGATTGCATCATGAAAATTCGTACAAGAAGTCGGAAGCAATATGTTTATTAATAAAAGCTAAAACTCAAAAGAATGAACCACGAAATTGTAATTCTAGCGAGCTCTTATTTGAATGAATCTCACAATCAGTGGAAATCATTGTACACAAAATTTTATTGTAAAATGAATTGTTACACGACATTAGCCTGGCAGATAGTTTATTTGTTTGATTCCGACGTTTCGACCATACGGGTTGTGGGCCTTTTCAAGGAATTTGATAATAAATATTACGTATTAAATTAAAAAAAAAACGTGGTCGTTACGTCGGATGGACGTGTCTTCGAACACAGTTCTCCGAGTAACGCCCAGCGATGGATATCAAATCTCCGTTTTTTTTTAAATTTAATACGTATAACGTGATATCTATTATCAAATTCTTTGAAAAGGACCACAACCCGTCTGGTCGAAACGTCGGAATCAAACAAATAAATCATCTGCCAGCCTAATGTTGTCTGACAATTCTTTTTAATTTTAATCAACTGCTGGCGATTTACATTTTTTCGTAAATATTTCATTGTAAAATTATATAAAGATATTGTATTATAAATATTTTATTTGAGTCATGAGCGAATCATCGAGAAGTTTCTTTTCGTTAAGTCTAACACGACCGTAAAGGATTCTCTGTGATCATCCGAAAAGCAAGAATCGCCACGTGGAAATCCCGCGTCCCTATTTGGCACGTGTCTCGCCGGCTCCGCGACGGGAAGTATAGAAGGAAAGTGAGTGCTGATATGACGCTGATGGACGATCGCGTGATCACCACGTAGGTGTCGGCTGACCGCGATCGCTTTAGAGGCGAATACCGCGGTTGGTGCTGGCCACGTAGTTGAGTAACTCCTCAGAGTCCTCGCAGACGAACGGTTTCTCATGGTAACACGCAACGTCGTGCCAGGCGATGCCGTCGTTGTAAACATTGTTCAGGACGGACATGCAGGACTCGTTGGTGCCGTTGATGTCATACTCGGCATTATCAGGCTGCCTGACCTTCTTGTGGCCGGTCTGCGACCACGGATTGAAGCCCCAACCGTTCGGCACCTGGTTGGTGGGTGTAATCTTCTCGCGATTCGCCGACCAGAACCAGCCGTACAGGGATTTGGGCTCGAGGTCACGTCGATTCTCGCAGCCCTTGAAGTCGCATAGACGTCCGGACGTCCAGATGTAAGGAACGTCGTCTGAGGGAGAAAATAGATCTTGAAATCGACTGTTCGTCGAAAACAGCCATTAAATTAGAAAGTTTATTTATTCTTCTATGTAGAGTCCGAGAAATTTTGTTGTATAATCGAAATTAGCTCTAAACAATTTAACAAACGGCTACATAATTATTAAACGTGAGACTTGAACTTAACTCACACTTTCGCGTCAACTTTTACCGTTTAGGAACCAAGTCTGATGAGTAATATCAGGGGAAAGAAGAGAAACATTTTTAGACACGACGACGCTAACTTATAATTTCTTATCGGAAGGAAGCACGATGATTATAGAGAAATCACCCGAAACGGTAATTCAATGTATGTACAAATTGCGGATATGGAAATCTACCGGCGTGTAATTAAATGAGAAGACTGGTCACGAAGTATTCCCGAGCGAAATCAATTCGGTGCCATCTCACTTTCGCCGGACTGCAAAAAGATTCATGCACCGCGCGATGCTGTTATATAAAAAGGCGAGAGTCACTATAGCCTCAACCCACTTCAAGACCCCCGCATCACCTTGAAAACTGTCGTTACACTCACCGATTCGCCTCCCACGATTCCTCGTCGTGATGAATATCGCTCGTGATGAGCAGGTATCATCACGATTATGATAATTGCGGCTAGAGGCGACAGTGAAATCCGACAAATGTTCCGGCAATTTATACTAATTCGTGGGTGGTCCACTGCTTATTCAATTTCCAATCTATGCGATCGTGATTGACATTGCGGTTTAATTTGCCTGGGTCATCGATGAATTCAATCTTTGATTAATTATTTCGGCTTTAATCATTAAAACAGCAAATTAAGTCGTCGTTAGACCAACTTTTACTCATCTTTTTCTTTCTAATCGAATTTGAAAATTATAAAATAAAATTGAAATACTTTTAATGGGCAGATATATCGGCTGCCATTTGTCACAACTTGTGCAATCATTCAAGTTCAACGTAGTTTCTAATACTGAGGAAAGACGGAAAAGAAGCAGCTGACAAAAGTAAAAGCAGTCGTGGGTAAGATTCTCCGGTTAACTGCACTTTCGGTTCTCGAATGCGCTTAAACGCAACGCACTGTAGCCGAAAGGTCGTAATGAAGAGAATGAGAGGATAAAGGGGAAGCATCGTCGTTAATCATCCGAATCGAACGGTGATGTTCCACGTCGGGCCGCTTGTTTCGAAATACTGCCGAATGATTATCGCGTGGATGAAAGTTGCCGTGGTAAATCGCTGTGTCGGTGTCGATATTTACGACTCGCTACCCCATCGTCAACATTACGATTGTGTGCCGTGTGAAAACTTTCTAAGGCCATTCTGTCAAAGGGACGAGTGTGGATTTACCATAATTTCTCGGCCCGAATAAACTCGAGAATTCGTACTTTGTAATCGTGTTGATGCATTAACGAATTACTGGTCAAGTCGGATCTAATTTCTTGTATATGTATATAAGGAATTAGATCAGATTGGTGATGCTTTGTGTTTGCAATCGATAAAGGGATGTAACCGGAAGATGATATTCTGTCCAAGTCTTTACAGGTCAAATTATAATAATCACTTCATTTTTTGAACGAGTGCACGTCATAATATTTAATACGTAAATTATTCTCGATTACGATGGAATACGAAATGTACGAAATTTTTCATCGCGAATAAGAACATTTTTTTCTTTTAGCAAGTTTGTGCTTACGAGAATTATTTCAGCTGCAAATCGACCTCGTTCTTCTTTGTACGTGGACAAAAACGAAGTCGTTTCGCTGCTTAGTCTTTCGAACATGCATTGATCTTTAATTTGCAATGTG